TTTCAGATTAACAGTGAAAGAAAAGCTATTCAAGGCCGAGGTTCACTTTGCCAGATCACACTCTATGCTGCTTTTCTTATTATCAGTACAAAAAAATGAAATGAGAATAGCACATCTTTTAATTTTCTTCCACTATTACCTCTTGATTTGCATTCAGGTCTCCCAGAAGAAATATCACTGAATTCAGAAGTAGTCTATTTAAGCTGCATGGTGTTTAAAAATTGCTAGAAGAGGTTAGGGTACTGTATATTATGCAGTTGACCTTGCTAAGAAGCTATGTTAACAATTTAGACTTATAATTTTCTGCAGTTTCATTTTGTTAAAATATTTTTTTCATTTTATTTTTTATAGCAAAACTCATTATCTCTCTGGGTACCTCTGCAGGTTAAACCTTTTGATTTCTTTCTAACTTGTTTTGTAAGATTTCTAAATTGTATTTAAAATTCTTGTACTTCAAGAGGTTGTTTGGTTACTGTCTCTTTGAGAAGGGAGAATTATTTTTTTTTGTCTCTCTTGGTCTTTAGAGGCAGGCAGTGTTTTCTGATTGCACCTCTTTAGAAGAAAACTGCTGCAATAAGCTAGTATTCATTAAAATCCATTGGAAGTATTTTGTCTGAAATGATCACACCGTTATGAGTCAGAATTGAGCAAAATGTCTAGGGAAGTTCTTTTGCATACTGCCTTATCACACAAAGTGACAGGATGTGAATGTTGGATATGCCATAATGAACCAAACTATTGTTTCATTATCCTATCCCACAATGGCTGACAGAAAAAAGCCATAACAAATCCTAAATAAACAACAGTAAAATATTTTGGGGACAAGGGCAGCTCTAAAATAGTATTCTTTAGTATATTGGATCCTTTTAAAGATGACCAGTGACCAAAGAATCTGTTTCAACCTCATAGTTACAGGTGCAGAGGAACAAGAACTGCCTGTTTCAGCCTATACAGGCTATCCCAAAGGTTCTTTTAATTCTTTCCACAATTCCATGAAATATACTCCACACAGCAAAACCATAAAAGCACATCCTTTCAGTGTGGTTTTCAGCTGCAAGTTCCACAAATGCAGCCAGAGAACCGAACACCAGATTGAAGTTTTATTTATCTAATCTCTAGGTATTTGTATTGTGATCAGCACCTATATAATACCTAAGCTACCTGAGTGAACGAGACCCGCTGATAATAATTTTTGTTATTTATATAGCACCTTCCACTGGATGACTTTGAAATGCTCTATACCTCTTTGATTGAAGTGTGCAGTCTGCCTTCATGTATTGACATAGAGATGCCATGTGATCTTTATTCAAGTTCCCTTGAGAGAGAGACATGCTGAAATGCACTAGAAAAATTATACACAAAGCCTTAGAAAAGAAGATTTCAACCAGTAATATAATGAGGAAAACCATACTGAACAAATGAGGAAATGACCTTTGTGTGGACCAAAGTCAAGTTGGCAGTTTTACAATCCACTTTATATAAACAATAAATGGGAATACAGATTTTTAAAAGTCTTTAACAAAAGAATAAAGAAAATGCTTAACTGACAAATCTTACAACTTGATTTTAATGAAAATTCTGATTGTTGAATTATTTTGGCATGCATTTTAGTTCAGCGTATTGAATGGTTTGCTTCTACAAAATCCTATATCCCCAAAACTGTGTTAATTATACTCATGTACATAAAATAGGAAATAGATTTCTCTTGATAAAGACAGACCATTTCTTAAAAATAATTTCTGCTGCTTACTACCGGCTGAATTTTCTTTTGAACATCAAGGAAAATGGCAATATTAAAGCAGCTTTTAAATATAGATCAAATGATAATTGTAAAAAATGGTAGACTATTTCTTAGATGTTACTTAACTCACTATATTCAGGGCCTACACACATAGGCTGAGGACTGAAGTTAAACATAGACTGGTTTGAGTGAACAGAAATTGGTTTAAACCTGTAACAGAACACAAGTTCGGTGCATATAAACCAATTTCAAAATGGCTGAAACTGGTTTAAGATAAACCTGGTTGAATGTAGTATCAGACTTAGCTGATTTAGGTCAAACTGGTTTAAGGAACTTCTGTCCTAGACCAGTTCCTGGTTCAAGTTAAATCACAGTCCCCCAGCATCCCAGGATGCTTTGCAGCTCTGGGCTGTGCTGTGCTGCCTGTTCCAGAGAACAGAGTTGGCCCCACCCCTCTGCTCCCTAGCTGGAGCAGTGAGGGCTAGCTGACAAGGGGCTGGGGTGGGAAACCCAGCTGGGGACTGCAGCTGGGTCTGACGGTGTGGGGAGGCAGCCCCTGCCAGACTTTTCACCACTCTCTCCCACCAGCATGGGACCTCAGCTGGAGTCAGCTTGGTAGGAGTGCAGCAGCCCCTGCCAGGCTATTCCCGACTTGCTGCTGGAGTGGAGGGGGTGGGAGCACGAGGTAGGGCACAGGGTGGGGTGGGGGAGGAAGCAGCATACCCTGGCTGGGGTCTGGGACCAGGGAGAGGGTTTAAACCCTCAGTTTGCTGGCACTGACCCAGAGCGTGGTCACATTCCTGGCTTTCCACTCAAGTGGGGAGTCAGGTGCCTGGGAGGGCAGTCCCTTTCAAGTTTCCCCCCGCTTGCACCCATAATCTTGGACCCCAGCCCAGTTGGGGGCAGGGGGAAGTCCCACCCAGGCGGTTCTGTCCCCCCCCCACCCATGCCCCGCTCCCCATTTGAGCAGAGAGCCAAGGATGTGGCCATGCCCCTGCCTGGGGCCAGTGCACTAAGCAGGAGAAGGAGGGTTTAAACCCCCTCCCTGGCCTGCAAAGGATCCCAGTTTGGGTCTGCTGGGGGGGCATGTCTTTTGGGAAGGAAGCTCTCTGAGACCATCTGCTGATTCCCCAAGAAGGACTTTCTGAATACCTAGCTATAATGAGACACTCTGCTCTCAGGATTATCTAAGACTTATGCAAGACTTTCTCTTGTCTATTGCATTCCATTTTAGACTAAGTTGTGTGTGCTCTCACTGTGTTTTACTGAGTGAAGATTTTTGGTTGTTCTTTGTTGTGTGCCTGAGGTTGCAAATTGCTGTGTTCAATACATGCTTGCTTCACAGAAAGGACTATTCTTATTCAAGCTTTTATGAATGCAATGCCACTACCTTTTTCCCCACTCACCCCCTCCTCAACCTGGTAGGGGCTGCCCTTCTGCTCCCTTGAGTGGGGAGCAGGAGTGGGACACAAGTCTTGCTAGCACTGGTCCCCTGCCCAGGCAGACATGGGCTGGGGTCTCATGTGGGCCATGGTGGAGGGTTTAAAACTCCCGCTCCCCCTGACCTCTCCTCCACTTGAGCAGGGATGGGGAAAAAGCCTTGAAGCTTCAGTCCCTTCCCTTTGGCACTGGCCAGCAGGCTGGGAGGCATGCTCTAGTGCACTCTGGCTTCTGCTCTGGGCCACTGCAGACATGTGGCTGCATTTTCTGAATCAAAAGTGAATGTCTGTTCACTTGCTTCTCAGTTTAATCTCTGCAGTTTAGACTAACCTGAAAAGACTTCAATTCAGCCTCAAGTTTTTTGACTGTCTGTACTTAGCCTTTGTACTTAGTGATAAACATACCAACACTTTTATGCTAGTCCACATCAGTTTTTGTAGAATTTAAGCTTTGACTAAAGGAATCAAGTTGCCTTTATGGAGGGAAAGATAGCTTTCAAACTGTATATCTTGCTACCTTATTGGAACACAGAGGGATAGTAGGGCAGTTCTGCACCTGGGGCAGTTGTGATGCATCGGGCAGCTCTAGCTGCTGTGGTGATGATAGCAGCAGCTATTTTTGTCCCCACCTCCCCCTTCCACAAAAGCAGAGCCTCAGACTGCTATCCTGACTGCCTTCCCCGCATATACTACTGCTGAAAAAGCATAGTAAAAACAGTTTTGAAAGTGGTTGAATGTCTCTATTCACTTCTATGGATATTTACTTTGAAGCTCAATAAAGATGATACAGGAGTCAAAGGTTTAAAGCCTACCTGATCAATTTATCATAGACATCCACTACTCTGAACAATAAGATGGAATGAAGAAGAATATCACCATGTAAAAAGTCTGCATCATTTTTTCACCTTTTTTTTTGGTTGTCCACAAATACTGGCACAGGAATTGTGTAGCTGCCTTCAGGGATTATTCACATTCTTAAATAATGACCCCAATGGGAGAAAGTGCACACTAAAATACAGACCTCACTCTTGTCACCCCTGAGTTCTTTTGCTGAGTAACTCCATATGTGGTAGATTTAAAAATAAATGGACTCATCGGGGAAGATCCTGCCTTGAGTGGGGGGCTGAATTATATGACCTTGCTGAGTCCCTTCGAACCCCTACTTTGCTATGAACCGAAGTTATCACCCTCTTGATTGCCTCCTTGAGCTTGTCTTCACTAGGGACCCTCTCCTTCTCCTTGCCTGCCACATTGTCAACTGAGGGAAGATTATAGTATTTACATAAGTTATCAAATCAATTTAGAATTAGCTGAGTTAATATGCCCCCCAGTGAAGACAAGGCCATTTATATTGCAAGTATTTAATCTGAAATAAGATAATAGTTGTTCTCTAATCTAGTACTTTATTTCTGGAATACTTTACATTTGAACAATTAACCTTAAAGATCTTATTTGGAATCCAAAACATAGCAGCTAGTAAGCTGTTCAATCTCTCAAGCAGTGATAGGCTTAATGGGTTTCAAAAAGGACTGAATTTACCAATTTTGCATAGAAGTGGAAGCCCATCACTACAGTTCAACAATTCAATTTTACTATATCAGCCATGTGAGAACATCTGTATTTAGGCAGGAATGGAGACTGAAGTACACGTAATAGATGCTAAGGACAGTTAAATTACTTTTTCCAGATTACATTTAATTAAGATACAACTTGTTATTTACATGATACATACATCACACAATGCAGACTAAGTATAAAGACAAAAAAACTGTACTTCAATTACATGCTAAATTAAATAAAACATAATTATTTTGGCACGATAACTATTACATAAATATTCTAGAACATGATGAATTAACATTTATATACAGTCTACTTGAAAGTGAAAAATAATTGCTGAAAATTACGATATTTGCAAATGTTTAAGTCCAGAAAATATGTTTTAATCAGCCACAATAAACTGTAACTGATGTTTAAGGTTTTAATGTCCAGGAAAATATTATCTTGAATTATGTTTGTACATATTGTGCTCTTTTTGAACCAGTTCTTTGCTACTTTTATGCCATTGGTTTGAAGAACCATATTAACTCATAATGGAACTTTTTAAAATCCTGATAATGAAAAAAATTCTGGTATTGAAAAAAATTAACATGAACAAATATTAATCTATTTATCTTTTGGAATATTACATATTAGTCTTGATAAGTTTCTTAAATGGCCACAGTGCTTTTCAGTCATAGGCAAATGTGGTTAAAACTTGAAATTCTTATTAATAGCTTTTGGGTTTTAAACAAAAACATTTTTTCAACCGTTCTCTGAATATCAAACCATGAAAATATACCATTCAACCTCTCCTAGCCCAAATTCTTCCATCAGTTGCTTACGTGCATTTTCTACTGAAAATAATGGTAACATGCAAAATTGATGGCAGTTTTTGGCCCCAAACTAGGTAATAAATCCCAAAATATTGCATTTTTAGTTAGAGAAAAGAAATTCCCTAATTTCCTTAATTCATAGTTTTTTCTTTTGTGAACATTTCCCAAACTATACAATTTTACATCTCACTTTTATTCTTACCATGTAAAAGAATTTTAATGCACTCTAAATAAATTAACCGTACACAATGTGGGCACCTTTATAGCCACATTGTATAAATTTTTCATCAGCCATATTTCTCTCATGGCTGGTACATTGTGCGTTGCCTAAGATTGTATAATATGTTTTTACTTATTTTTGTAGTGGCAGTGTAGTAGCAGAACAAGTGAGGTTCTTACATGACCTTAGCTGGAAAAAAAAAGAGAATTTCTTGTCATCTCCTTAAATGCTTATGCTCGACGTGGTTCTAGTCGGTGAGACATCTGTGATAAAGTTCTCTGGTTGTCAATCACATTTAATTGCCGTACATAACTCCGTACGTCCTGATGGTTCTTATTAGTTAGAGCTGCGTCAGGATCTGATGGAAGAGAAATGGTGTAGAGCTGATAAACTTGGTCAAACAAATGACTGAGCAAAATATATCTCTCTCCCCACAAATCCATCATAAGAAAACTCCAGATACCAGTGCAGAAATCTATGTTATACTACTTTTATCCATTTGATTTAACCTCCCTTGAATATTTCATGTTCTTCCTTGTCACTTTCCCCCAAAATTAACTTTGCTTTCAAATGTCCTTGTCTACAATTGATGGCTCTTGTGTGAAGTTTTATATATTATGTTAACAGTCAATAGTTATAAATTATATAGCTATAATACTTTAATATCTGCTTTTGAGCCAGCAAAGCTCTCACTGACTCATAACCATAAAATTGATTTAGACTTCCTTTAGTGAAACAAAAGACTCCAGTCTCTAATTCATTAGTTAATATTTGTAATGAACGAAGCTTAAGAATTTAATGTTAAATAGTCACTGGAGTTAGGACTGGAGTAGGGGTCTCCCCTATGCCAGTTAAGTACTATAGACACTATCACTTCCAGCCATCTTTCGTGTAGACTCCGATCCACTGGGTATGCTCTATGAATGACTACTGGATCAGGCCCTACAGAAAAGGTAGGAAGAGAAATAACTATTTTGTGAATTCTAATGAGGCTTGGGCATGAACTATGGACTCAGCTGTTCAGCCGAGACATTTGTGGGCATGCTCAGAAGCAAAAATTTTGGCCCCTATGAAATTTAAATATCAGAAATGCCCACAGATTTTAGGTCCCTTCATACTGAAGATCTATATTTTGGATTTTGATGTCTAATGCCAACTTAAGCCAACTGCAGGACTAGCCACAAGGTGCTTTGGAAAATACCACTACCATAGGCACTTAAAAATCCAGCCCATTTGTAATTTAGAGGGAGTTTTGATTACACTGCGACTGAATAACACTATGGTAAAAATGTTAACTGTAATTAAAGATCATTTAAAATCATGTTAGCTATTTTGATTTGAAAATGCAAGGCATCTACATATACTAAATGACTACAAAAAGGTGTGTACCGTATTTACTCAAATACAAGATGAGGCTTTTTCCCCCGGTCAGCATGGGGAAAAAGCCCCTCATCTTATATTTGCAAACCAAGAAACCTCATTAAATACATTGTCTATCATTTAAATGCTGCCAAAAGCAGCATATGCTCAACAATGGAAACCACTAATGAAGTTGATTAAATGCAACCAACACTGAGCATAATTACAAAACACATCGCCCACATGGACCAAACATTTTTTTTTTAATTTAATTTCAAGGGCCAAATCAGTTCTGAATTCTATTGGGCAACACCCAATAATCAAGTCCCAAATTTTGACAGAGAAGAGCTCAATTGTCAAAGTTGTGTGTGGGTCTACCACCAGCCAAGTATCCTCCTTCCCAGACATATCAGTCTGGGGCTTCAGGTACTCCCCAGATCTGGACTAAACATGACAATGGGAACCATCACAAAGGTAGGTTACTGCAGCCCATCTGAATATGGTACTGCCCTTTGCACTCAGTCCCCCTCAGTGCCAACGCTTTCTCAAATCATGATGAGCCATTATACCTCTTACTATTCTACTTCCTTTTCACTCTCACAGCTGAGCTGCGCCTTCTTTCCTATTTACAATGATTCTTGTTTCTTCACCAGCCTTAAATGCCTGTCAAATATTACCAAACATGGCCCAAACAATTCGCCAGAATCCCGCTGTCTCCCTCTCTCTCAGTGTGGTGCATGTGATTATTAGCATGGCTTCACCCTCCATGAGGTGGAGCTCGACCAGTTGCCCTGTGCTTCATCTGCATATACATTTTTGGAGGATCCCAAGACTCATGACAAGAACATCTAATTCCAGTTACGAGTGGGGAACTATTTAGCACATGGATCCTTTGTGGGAGGATATCTGGAGTACGCACACGTATTAAGTAGTCCTGAACTGTGGAGTCCCTGCGGCTTTAAATGCTGTTGACTCTGCAGGGGCCCAGCCCAATAAACTATAGCCTTTTGGCTTTGAACGAATATCACGAATAGTTTATACTATATAAGTAAGTACAAAAGTGCTGCTTAAAAGTGTGTTTATGGAGTACCTGTGCTAAAACTTGCAGCAGTTTCAAAAAAGGTTAAATGCATCAATTCTGGATGAACTAAGTCTATGGGTACTATGTGTAAATTACTAAAGGCATGATCTTTTTCCACGATCAGTGTTTTCGAAGTTGTTTCTCACTCCCATGTGCTCAGGGAAAGCAAGGTCTGCCAATAGAGTAGGAGAAAGGGACTGCAAGGGGAGGAAGTTGGTGGGGCAAAAAGAAAGGGGCTACATGACCTCCCAGATTTAATTTTCCTGGTGTAGCAGTGGAAAAGGGAAAAACTTAAGGCAAACCTCTAATAATTAGATTCTGTACCTGGAAAAGTATAACAAATTTATAAATTTTCCATATATAAAATCTAATTATCAGGGGGTTCATCTTATAATCAGGGTCATCTTCTATTCAGTAAATATGGTATATTCGCATCGCACATATTCCCACAGGGTTTATGAAATTATTACTGTATTATCATTCATAGATTCCCAATTTCTGAATGCAGCATCTGCTGTTTCCCAGCAAAATAATTTCAAGACATATATGGTAAGTACTTAAACTTTTCAGTCTCCTCTCAGAGAATATTTCTGAAAAAGCTAATTGTTATATATACTCAGAGGTTTATGGATGTAGCGCATATGTAAATTGATGCTAGCTGGATTTATATATACCAGTAATAAGTGTGTGTCAAAATTTAGGTTAACAAACTCCACTAATTTCTGAGTCGCTTAAACATAAAGATCTATAGGTGCTTAATCAACAAAAATTAAAATAGGAATCTCATAACAAAAACATGGATGCTGTCTGGAAAATAGAAAAAGCGCTATCAACATGAGATTCTGGAGTTAGGATCTGAATCAGCTGAAAATACTGAAAATAAGATGAACCCCTCACTTATTCTAAGTGTTCTTTTTTATATTATTTCTACTGAGCTCTGAGAGGAGGAATATGGAAGGGTTTTGTGAGGCCTGTGTGGTGAGCTATGTAGGAAAGTTAGTACTATAAGGGAATGTGGAGAGATTCAAATGAGTGGTGGTGCTTCTAAACTGGCCCAATTTAGCCAGTCTCTGCAATCATTCATCTCTCATGGTATATGACCTCAAAGAAGGTACAATGAAAATACTAAAAAATAGCCTCAAAATGCATGACCCAGAATGTCTGTGTCATCCACAAAAAGCTGAATTTTAACATTCTAATTAAACATGAGGGTGTCAACATTGCACATATTGTAACTTGCTTACTGAAAGATTGGCTTCGGCAGAATTTCACCGTCCTGATAGTATTGGCAATCATGCGCTGAAAAAGAAAATATATTTTAAACATGCTTCTTGATTTATGCTGCAAACAGAAAACAATCATTGTATTTCAACATCATTTGGTCTGTGCATTTAGTTGTCCATGTCTGGAGGCACAAACTAATAAACAAATTCAAGTAATTTTAAAGATTTAGAATTTTAATACAGATTCCATAATATCAGGTTTGACTCATTCTCATGGGCCCTAACATGAATACAGGGGTAATTTAACTTTGTTCCCATTTTCCCACCTTTAAAAAGATATTACCCCAAATCCTTTGCCCATTAATATTTCTTCAAATTTAATTTTAAGGTCACTAGTTCCTAAAAGCAAGGACATTTCTAGAACACGTGTTCCATTAAATTACTTGGCACTTAAAGAGCTCTCAAATTTTATTATGGGTTTAAGTTTAAAATGCAGCTCTGGTAAAAAGTGACTATAAAAATAGTATTGTGGGGTTCTGTGTTTATTGATTTCCTCATGAACTGTACTCAGTTTATAATTTAAAAGTTGACAAGTGAAATCCTATCCAGTTGAAGACAGCATGAATTTGCAATTGACTTCAGTAAGTACAGAATGTCACCATATCTTTTAACTTAGTAGCTGAAATCTGCAAGTTCACCTTGGATCCAACTTGTTGTTTAAAATCAATTTATGCTCACAGTGGCAACTGTATAACCCCCTTGGTCTGCACTCTTGTATATAATTTAATCTGTGATTGGAACTGATCATTCCAACATTGTCTTATCTGTATTTGCACAGTGGTAGGAAAAAGTTAAATAGCAAAAATATTTTATTCACTAAATTAAGTCAATACATATGGGGAGCATATTTGATTAATTAGAAGGAGCCATTTTATAGTAGCTTTTCGTAGGATTGAAGCCAAATAAACTAGAAAGCAATAAAATATAGATACAGTTATATAACCCCTAGCCACTTGCTACCTCAATTAGCACCTGATAGGTAATGCATTAGCCTACTATTAATTTCATTAGTAGCTGTGAAGTAAATTGATACTGATAAACTTCAGAAGTAAATCTGAATTTTTCTAGATGCTGAATCGGATTTAGGCATTATACAAGTAAGCTTCTGTTTTAATTTTCTTTTCTAAAGATTAAGTCAGTGAGGGAATGGGGAAAGTGCCAAAGACCCTGTTCCCACATGATCTAACCCACTCTTTAATATTGACATATTTTAACATTTTCCAAATATATTCTCAACAGGCTGTTTCACATATACCTCAAACTGTTTATAAGGTTAATAAGAAAGCTATAAACCTATATTGTGTCTTAGCACATTTCCAAGTAAAAAGCAGTAAGTATTAATGTATATGCTCCTCAAAACCATTTACAAATTAGGTTTTTATATGAAAACACATTATTACAAATATCCTAATACCTCAGTGTGGTTTACAGATCAAAGGAAAATGGTGAGTGCTAATACAGAACATGCTTGTAATTGTTATTTCTTATGCCGAAATTGAATGCTCTCAGACATTTTAATGTATTTTATAAACCATACAAATCTGGCATGATTGTTGATTGGTATGATAAATTGTTACCTACATAAAAATGTAATATGCAATATTTAATTAGAGTCCTATTGCCTTCAACAGGACTACTCTATGATTGCTTAAAGCATACAGCTTAAAGATAAGCCCAAGGTTAAGTGCTGATTTGGACAAGAGCCCACAGCAGCCTGTCTAGCTAGTCTAACTCAACACAAGTCTAACTCAATCAAACTGTAAAAAATATCAAGCATTTGCTGAAAACAGCCATGCTTTGTAAGTCCATTGAAATGGCATGCACTTACTAGTAGTGTTGCTATTTTGAATCATACTCTTTCCAGAAGTGTTCTACTACAATAACTACTTCCAACAGAGTTAGTTTTGACCAAGGCCAACTGATCAATGAGTTGCTGCAGTTTCCAGAATTACTGGTTTTAAGAAAGGGTCTTCTTAAGGAACTATCTTTCAAAATGATGTATAGTATTGCACATTGTGCCCTGTAAATGGGATGTTTGTTGAAAATATGCAGGCTTATTTATTTATGCTTGTAAACCTTTAGTGTCTGAAACCTCCCTTTTCATAAGTGTTTGGTAGAGGGTAATCCCTTACATTAGCTTTTGATTTAGAATTACATCCGGAATTCTCCACAATTCAATTACTTTTGCATCTAATTTTGAGAGATGAGAGAAAAAATATCTTTGAAGCTGTTCTACTCGGTATTTTCCTTACTTTGGCAATGTTCTGTAACTTAGAGTAACATTCAGGATAAACTTATTGTATGCAACAGTTCTGATTGATGAATGATACTAGTACTAAGGATTTCCAAAATTCTAACTTTCTCACTTTCTGAGCTATCTAAGATAAGGAAAACGGAAGAGATAATGTATTCATTTAGCCTCCTGTTGAGCTTGCCTCACACTGCATTTTTTGCAGCTGAAAGATTCCATTTTCTTTTAAGGGGTGTTATTGACTGGAGATAGTTTCATCCAACCCTGTTTATTCAGAAGGATACTGGCTGTGATACAAGATCAAGAGTCAGAAAATACAGATTTGTTTGGAATAAATTAAAACTGTGGATGAACAAAAGTATTTCTCTCAGTAGACTTTATTGCTTCAACAAAATGGGAAGATTCAGGAGTATATTATACATCCTATAAACAGCTCCATTTGTGTGCAACTTTTCATGTCCTCTCCCCATGTAAGAAAGGTCTGTCTTTGAAAGGTGAGAGATGGATGCATAATTAACTTATAAAGAAAAGTACATACTTATTTTATCTCTGTTTTGCAAAATAAACAAAATTCTCTTCTTTTGATCCATGAATACTGGAGTTTTACTACATGCAGATGAAGGCTGCGCCAATGACAGAAAGTTAAAATAGAAGTGTAATTGCTTGCACCTTAAAATTTTCAAACCAGGATTGCCTCAGGTTGATAATTTCAAAAAATCAGCCTCTGTCTACTCTTTGTGCTAAGACAAGCCATTATTGAAAAGCCAAACAAACCTAAATATGGATCCATCTGAAACAGAATCAACAACACAATACACCAGCAATTGCTACTATCACCATATGATATATACACAACAATATCCTTTCAAGTTTTATGCAGTCTAGAATAGTGGCAGCAAGCCAGCACATTATCTGCTAATCCATTCCTAGCCTAGGCTTTTAAATGTTATAAATATTCATATATGCCATAGAAAACTACCAGGGGCTTTAGTCGCACACTTTTTGCATAATCCTTATGTTCCAAAAATGAAAGAATGTTTGCCCTTTTTTTGCATAAAGATCAGAATGTGAATTCCCTTTTGTTCATACCCACAAAACCTGAAAACCAATATGCACAAATTCTCTAATCCTCATTTCACACCTCAAGGGTGAAGAGGCTCAGTAAAAAGAAGAATCAGTGACCAGCATCATGGCTTGATGGTGCTGTCTAGGGCTGCCAACAAGGGTCATGGATTTCAGAGCTACTTTTTCACTTGTATTCCTTCTACAGGTGCCTCTTCTGGGACACATTCAAAATCAAGGTAAACTGATCTCTGTCATAATGCTGTCAGAAATGATATTGATATAAGGTCCAAATAAAATGTATCTATTCTTTTCCTCATGAAGACATGATTTTCTAATGACAGCTGGACAAAGAGGATGTGAGGACAGAGCAGTAACTAATGTTTTTTAATAAATGGGGAAGGAAAAAAAGTTTGAGGAACAGAAATAAATAAAAAGATGTGTTTCGCTTGGGGACAGAAATATAGCATGTATGTATAGAGATCAACCCCAGAGAAGCACAGTCCTAAAAAAGGCCAACCTTTTCTTCCCCCAAAATTTAAATTATACAGAAATGCATAAGTACAGAAGCTTTGTAAGAGACATGTGGCCCTGGAGTAGTTGGCTCATATAGATTATTACAACTACAGCTGCTGGGATCTCCTTTACCTCAGACCGCAAATGCCTGTTTATTGAAGTGAAAGACAAATGCATATTGTACACAAAAAGTGTGCTTGCTGTCTACTACATTTCCCTTCACAATTCCTTTACCAGTTTCTAATACATATATTCTAAATCTGTCAAACCTGTACTTCAAAGACCTTCCAAGTTTAAAAATCCTAGTTTCCCTCTAATGCTTTTGGCTCAGTCCCCAAAATATGGGTCTTTTAAGCAAGCATGACTAACACACATTCCCTATCTCACTGCAAAAATCTTAGTAGAGACAAGGGATGAGTATCTTCTACCACAATGTAGCTAGGTAGGGTCAGTACAATATTCCTTCCTAGTTACACCATGGTAAAAGAAACACTGCCCATACATTGTCTCCACTAGGATTCTTAGAGGGAGACTCACATGCTTTACTTATCACCCACAAACCACACATTTTTTGGCAGTGAGGACAGCACCAGAACACTTATAATAGTAATGGTATTGCACTGGTATGCTACTTATTTCATTATCTAATTAGTGACAAAAATATTAATTGTTCCCTCATTTGTGAAGGCCACTGCCTGAGCTTCATGCAATGGGATTACAGAATACAATTCAAACACTCATATTTGAAGAAAAAGTATGAAAGGTCTCACAAGTTTAAAAAAATATCAGAGGTTTAAAGATATAATTGAAACATCAGAAAACATGAAAGAGATTTAAAAAAAAGCTGTGTCAGTTGAAGGGATGCCACTAAGCTATACTTCCACTTTTGGCTGCCAGTTACAAGAATGTAGTTGTCAGTAGCACATCAGATGTTTGGAGTGAAATGCTTTGGTGAGAATGCAGACAATGGGCCAAATACAATTCTCAGTTACACCACAGCAGTTATGCTGGAGGCAGAGGAACACACCTTTCAAATTACAGTAAGAATTACCAAGAGATTTTTATTTAAGAACCATATGCTTAAATTCTCATAATCAGGATGGATCTAAAGAAACTGTTTTCTAAAGGATGAAGAAATTCTAGACAGATCAATATCTGCCTCACAAGAAAACATTAAATGTCACTAT